GGGGGAGGGAGAGAGGGAGGGGGAGGGAGGAAGAGAGGGAGAGGGAGAGAGAAAGAGAGAGGGAGAGAGAGGAAGAGAGAGGAAGAGAGAGGAAGAGAGGGAGAGAGGGAGAGAGAGGGAAAGAAGGAAAGAAGGAAAGAAGGAAAGAAGGAAAGAAGGAAAGAGGGAAAGAGGGAAAGAAGGAAGGAAAGGAAGGAAAGGAAGGAAAGGAAGAGACATACTCAACGCGCACAAGGGCACAATCCATAAAGAAGGCCGGCTCCACAAGCGCCGAGGGGAGAACACTGGCAGCCACTGCCGAGGGAAGACGCAAGACCGCCGCCGGTGGCTCGGAACTTGGGCGTCGAACATACCCCAGACCGCCGGTGCCCCGGAGCCAGAGAGCCCGGTCATCGGGCAGCCGCAGTCGGGCAAATGCCTGACCGTTCATCACCCCGAGGGAGGTCTGCAGGACCAACACCCGGGCATCCCCTCGCCGGAGGGTAGATTGCCTCACCGGTCGCCCGGCCTCATCTGACAACTCCAGTACTCGGCATCGATTGACATGGCCAAACTCATCCTCAAACTCGACGATCTGGCGCCCGGGTCAGATCCTTGGAGCTCGCACACCAGGAGGACAGCGAACAGAAAAAGGAAGCGAGGGGGCGCCAAAGAGGGAGCGAGAGCCGGGAAGGTCGCCACAAGGAGCCCATACCTGCTGCACACAAATGGGCCCGGCGAAGGCGTCGAAGGCCCGAGCCAGCCGGTCCAGAGGGGCATGCGAGGCATGCATGTGGAAAACCCGCACATGAAGGGTGGCCTGAGGCTCGAGCAATAAGGGCGCCTGCAAGAAGGAGCAGCCCGGGGGGAAGAATGCTGCCATATCGACGCTGCTCATGATCAGGGACCCGGCATTGGGATTTCCCGGATCCGTGCCACCTGAGGCGGAAGTGCTTCCGGCAGGAGTCCAGTCAGTCCCGAGTAAGGCACCCGGAGGAGGCGGCATGCCGGGAAGGGCGGGTCGATGGGCCGTACCGGACGCGCAGGCGAACCGAGCCATCCGGCGAGGCGAGAAACAGATCGCCTGCCAGGAGCCCGGCATGCAGACCCGACAGAAGGCCAGCCGGAGCGAGACACTCCCCCGGCGAGCAGGGGCTGGCCATGGTGGCCGCCGACACCAGGGCCAGGGCCAGCTCCACCTGCACCGCCCCCGGACACAGGAGCTGGAGCGTCCGGCGGCCGAGTTCCGATCGGTGCTCGGGCCCGGGCTCGCGCGGCAAACTGGCTCCACTCCGCCGGGACAGCACCACGACTTCGGAGATCGGCGATCCGGGCGTCGACCGCACAAGGCGCCCACTGGCCAGCGGCCGCCGACAGGGATACCGGAACATCTCCACCACCCGGCACTCAACCGGCCCGGGCAAAGTGACAATCTGACGCAAGAAGGGGTCAGTGCCAGTCAGATGGGGAGCTCGTCTCCCCGGCAGGAGGCAGGGGAATCATGCGAGAAGGGCCCGAGTACGTCATCCTGCTGGACAAAGAGCCCGTCGCACTGCGAGAGAAATGCCTCCACCGAGGCCTCCACACTCGGGGGGGCAGCCTGCGCATCGAGGTGCCCCGGGTGGAATGCCCCCGTCGGACAAAGAACCAACAACCCCACCGCCGGGAGCTGATGCTGGAAGAGAATCTTCCCGCGGAAGCCGGTCGAAGCATTGGCCGTGCCGAGTGCGGCTTGCAGTTTGGGTGACAGGCGAATGGACTGCCTGGGAACCCGGCCATCCGGGCTTGGAAGGCGAGTCATCAGAAGGGGCCAAGGTGTCGGGGGAGAGAGGGAAAGGCAGAGCATGGGAAACCCGGCACACACGATGGAGAAGGCAGTGCCCAAGCCCGAAGAAGGGAGGCCGATGCACGCACAGGATGGACAGGGGCTCGTGTGTGGTCGAGAGACAGGCACCGGTGGCCGAGCCAGGCACACGCCCCCCGGCCAGGCGTTGTATCCTTTGGAGGGTCGATGGGGCCAGGAAGGCGTCCGCCATGGGCCGCGGGCCCGGCGAAAGGGCACCTTGCGGGGTGGGTGCACAGGGAGATGGGGTCAATGTGGGATGGGGCGATCCGCCAGCCGGCCGGCTGGCTGGCAGAACAGCCAACCACAGGTGCTCGGGTGAGGAAGCCACGCCGGCCACCGAGACCTGGATCGCGGGCCGCAACGAGGGCACCGGCAGGCCATAGGCACTGACGGCCGTGTAGGCCAGCAGGCTGTTCGGGGGCATTGTCGACTGGAAGATGCCCTGCCGAAGGAGGGCCCCGGCGGAATCGACGAGCTCCTGCACCAGGAAATGGCACTTCCGCAGGTAGTACATTTGCCCGGCCCGTAGGACGACGCCCTCCAGGCAAGCGGTCAACCCCTCGATGGTGGACTCGTCGAGTTGGACCCCGCGCTCCAGCTGGATGGCCAATCGAACCAGCGCAACGCCGGGCGGCAATCCACACGATCTGGCCACCGTCAGCTGGGCGGTCGACGCCTGCCCTGCGAGGCGTGTCCGGTCGCTCGGGTGCAGCAGCACGTCATAGGTGTCGGTGCGATCCTCCGGATGAAACCCCTCCGGAGCCGGGCTGAGAGAATGAGAGGGACAGCGACAGCGGGCGACAGAGAAGCAGGCACCCCGGATAGGGGGGGGGAAGGCGTCGGGAGGGGAGGGATGTTGTCAGTCGCCACGCCGGCAAGTGGGATGTGCCCATGCTTGGACGATGGCCAGGGGGAACGCACCGGAGGCGGAAAAAGTCCTGGCCATTTGGACTGACCAGAAGTGGCATGAACTCCCCGCCTGAGCCTGTTGAGGGATGGCCCGGAGCTCCGGCCAGTCCGGCCAGGCGGGCGCAGCCGGCCCTCGAAAGGTAGAGGACACCGGGGAGGAGGAAGTCCAGGAATTTCTGCTGGGCATCCGGCAGGCCGGCCTGCAGCTCCAGCACCTCGGCCGGTCGATTGACATCGGCCCAAATGAGTATGGTCAAGGGAGGTGGTAAAACCATCAGGGAGACGGGGGAGGGGGAGGGACAAAGAGAGCGAGAGAGCGAGAGAGGAGAAAGGAAGGAGCCCGGATCTGGGGCAAAAAAAGAGCCCTGCCTATGCAGGGGTGGTGGAGACCAAGGACGAGCGATCTCACCTCAGAGGCATGCCCCTTGAGGCAGGTCCTTGCCGCCGGTCGAGGAGGCCAGTGACGAGCTCGGGCCGGGGCCGTCCGCTGGGTGGGAATTGGTGCTACGGCTTGTGGACGCCGGTCGCCGACCCAGTGGTACATCTCTCTGGCGGGGATCCCCCTGCCCACCCGACCCCGACCGGGGGCATATCCACGCCCGGAGTGCCCCCCCTGGGCCGGGAAATGCAGGCCTGCCCGGCCTCTCTGCAAAGAAGCAATAAAACTGAACGCCCCCCCACAACGGACGCGATAAAACCGGGGCTCGATCTCGATGCAATGGGGCAAGGACAGGCTCGATGGCGCATCCCGCATGATGGCCCCAATCCGCGGCATAACTGAGGAAAGTGGTGGTGAGACTCGCCGGGAAGATGGGGGCCTTCGGGCCAGGTCGGATCCGATCCGGCTTTCTCGCTCACGCGGAACCGAGACCGTGCCGTGTGTGTGTGTGTGTGTACGCGAAAAACAATGTCGCGCCCCTTTCCGGCGGATGGTGGTGAGGCACCGGGGCCGGGCGAGAGAGAGCACCGGCGCCCCGCGGACACACACACACAGATGGTGGGAAAGTTGCCAGATCACCGGCCAGGGCGGGCGGCCTAAAAGGCAAAAGATTAGCGACTGGTGGTTTCGATCCACCGACCTTTGGGTTATGAGCCCAACACGCTTCCCCTGCGCCAAGTCGCTTGGGAGGTAGAAATCCAGAACACCATAAATGCCCGACGCCATGGGCTCCGGGTGAAAACCCGAGGCAACCGCCGGGCACCGCGCGACCGGTGCCAGTCTACCACATGGACATTTCCCCGCCTCCTCCGGGTTGACCCCCGTTGAGAGGCCGAAGGCGAAAGCCCGCAGACCATGGGTGCAACTGTCATGCCACCTCCCCCACACCCGCCTCACCTTGCCCCGCTCTGTTCGCGCATGCTGGCGCCTCTCCGCCGAAGGTGGCCATGCCCTCCGCGTGGCCAAATAGCGAGGATATCCATCCCCCCTCATGTTACCCTCCCTTCCTTCGGATCTCCTCCTCTCCGGGCAGCCCTGGCCCCCTTTTCCCGTCTCCCCTCCCCGGGCCCAGCACCTTGAAGGATAGCCATGCTCCTTTCGTCGGTCTTGACCTCCCATTGCTCTGTCTCTGTACGTCGGTCCCCCAGGGGGAGCGGTGTGACCCAGTCCCCGATGTGCTCGCCATAAAGACGCCGATCTCCAGCTTTCCTCTTCCCCTTGTTGTGGTGTCTTTTTCCGAGGGGTGGCCGCCCTCTCGGGGGACGGAAGGCTTTGGGTGGTCCAGGGAGACCGCCAACCAGTCCGCCAGAATCACATACCAAAAACCGGAGTCCTTCATCAATCCCCCGCGCGCAGGCATACCCAACTGGCCATCACCGTGTCCGAGTGGTTAAGGAGTCCGATTAGAAATCGGATGGGCTCTGCCCGCGTAGGTTCAAATCCTGCCGGTGATGCATCTTCCTTTTTGCGGCCGCGTGCCCGCTTCTTTTTCCGGCCCACCGCTCCCCGGTTCCTGCCCCTCCCGGGGGAGGGGCACACACGTCGGCCACGACCCTCCCCCCATAACCAACCCACCCCCACATCTGCCATCCAGGCGCATGAGCGCGCCAGTGCAATCGGGTTATGGCTATTCATGAATCCCCATCTTCGCGCCCGTGGGCGCAGACTGTGTGGGCTTCCATCCATGCACCCGGTGAGCGGCCAATGTCCCCGCGGCATTTTCCCCGGATGCTTGATCGGCCCCGATGAGGCACTCCCAGCTGGCACCCTGTTGATGCCATTGTCCCTTTCGGTCCTCCTCCTGCGCCTCCACTAGGCGCGTGTCAGGTGTGTGCAAGCTCCGGGTGAAGGGCGGCCCCCAAGCCCGACGCCCCCGGGGTAAACCTCTGCCCCGCAACACATGCCCACAGCGTGGCGAGTCACTTCCTACAATGCCGAGTCGGGGGGCACATCCCGGCCACCTGCGAACTGATGAGGACCGACATTTTCCAAGCCCCTTGCACCCCGGCACGCGCCTCATCCGCCAAGAAGAGCATGCAGAGCGCCAACCGGTCGGAGTGCAGGCTGAACATCGAGGTAAGAAGGCCCCTCCCCTTCGGGGCACCCTCCTGTCGGCGAAAAGGGCACCCATGTCGGCTGCCGGGCGAGCGCCCTCCTCGGCGTCCTCCCCTGTTGGATTCCTCGCCGAAAGGAGCAACTGCAGCAGAATCGACAACAGCAGGAGCAACACAAGCATCAACGGTGGCCTCGGCTATAGGGACCGGGCAGGCAACTCCTCCCTGAGGGATGGAAGCCGGCGTATGAGGATTCGCAGCTCTGGGGAGAGGACACCTGCCGGAAGGAGCCGGACAACCTCGCTCCTTTCGGACCGGGCGGGGACCCATGTCCCGGGAGGAGAGCAGGAACAGACCGAGAGAAATGCCCGATTCAGTGCGATCTCCGTGGGTTTGTTCCAACCCGCGAGCGGGTACACGTCGAAGGTGGGGAGAAGAAATGAATAAGAATAGAAAAGACAGGAGAAACACACCTCTCCACCGGGTTTGACCCAGCAGGCACACAGGGCGCCCCTTGTTTTCTGGCGAACAACAGGCCGCAACGCATCTTGAGCTGTGCACTTTTTGTCCCGCAATCACAAGGGATTCGCCGGTGACATTTAACGTCAGGGAGGGACCCCTTTGGCAAGCGTCGATGGTTTAGTGGTAGAATTGCCGCCTGCCACGCGGTAGACCTGAAACGCTCGGACTGATTCACCGAGGCTTGTTCTCCGATATGGAGATCACGCCTCGGAAGAAAGCATTTCGTCTCGAGAGGTACAAGAAGGCAAGCGATGACAATAAAGCGCGCGCGGTCTTGTTGGGGGAAGCAAAAGTATTTACATCAGAGACTACTGGCTTGGGGGGGAGAAAGCCAGGCCAAGGAGGCAATGACTATCCTTTCTAGGGTAGCCGTACATGGGAAAGAGGGCGCGGATGCCGTCCCTTATATAGGGGTTAGGCGCATGGGAGAAGGAGCACCTTGTCCCTCTTCCCTGGGCGCCGAGGGAGGAGGCGGCAGGGCGGGGCGAAGGTCTGTACACGGAGGCGCGGCTCTCCCCAAGAGGAGAGGAGAGCCGGGGATCCGACTTCTCAGATGTGGTCACGTGACAACCCGTGACCAATTCTGGGATTTGGGCGGCGAAGGTTACAAGACCCGGGTTCGATTCCCGGTCGACGCAGACCCGCTCGTTTAGCTCAGTGGTAGAGCGCCAGTCTAGTAAACTGGAGGTCGGGTGTTCGATCCACCCAATGAGCACCATTGTTTTTTGCGCCGCCTCGCCAGGGGATCGGCCTTCCCGCGGCTTTTCATCCGCGCGCGGCAAGAGAATGATGGGTGCCGTGTCGCGGACGCGGCGTCGTTGGTTGCCGCCTCCGGTGGTTTTCGATTAAGTGAGTTACAGTTGCGCACATCGCGCAAAGCCCAGGACCTTTTTTTTTTTTCGCGGCGCCCGGGGTCACCTCCTGTGTCTGAGGAGCATCGGCCCCTGCCAATAGCCTGTCCCATTGCCTTCCGCAGGCGCGCGAACTCCGCTCACCGTTGTCTGAACTGCGCCAACATCGTTGACGGTGCTCTAGGCAAGCGAGGGAGAGAGAGAGAGACGTCGACAAGCCGGCCGGTTGATCTGCCACCTGGCCAGCAGGGCCTCGACGCTACTGTGTGCCTTGGCTGCGTGCCCAAGCGCATATGCGGGTTTCGCTTCTCCCGCTGCCTGGCACTCGGATCCTCTGTTCCCCGGCGCCTTCTCCGCCCCCCGTTCGCCTCCTCCTCTCTTGTTTGCCGTCGCCGTCCTGGCGTCCAACACACACTCCCTCTTTTCTTGAGCTCGAACGTGGTCGAACAACAGCAGGTCAGCTGGAGGAATATGCCCGCGCTGCTGGGTTCCTCGGGTGGCCACCGCCGGAAAAGCGCCTCTCAGAAAGCGGCTGCTGCCGTGCTATCTCCGCCATCCAGCCGCCCCAGGCCAAGCGCCGCTTGGAAAGAGTCATGATGACTGGTGTCGGGTGGAGGGATGGGTGCGGGAGTGGTGGGAAAGGGCGATGCTTGAAATAGAGGGGATTGGGTCATTCCCCCAACGGGGGCTTAGCTCAGTGGTAGAGCACTCGACTCCAGATCGAGCGGTCAGTGGTTCGATCCCTCTAGTCCCCATTCCTTTTTGTCCCGTCGAATACCCTGGGGAAGCCTTGCCACCTCTCCAGAGAGCCCCACAATCTCCGAGGACGGCAACATCCGGTCCTGCGATATTGTTGTCGGCCAGGGCCTTCGATTGACAGACCCCCTTTTCGGGAGTGGCGGGGAGTAACGCGGCACATAGCCAGGCCCCCTCAGCTGGGGGACTATTTTGGTTCTCTCAAGGGAGACGGGCGCTCGCTCCTGCAAAACCGGCCGGGCCGATTTACATGTCCCCTTCTCGCTGGAACAGCCGCCCACATTTGCGCGGCCGACTTTCTGGCACGCCTTCTCCGGTCGCACCAGCCTTGGAGGAAGGCCAGCACCTTTCGGCCATTACCTTTTGGGCAGCCTGGCTTCCTTTCCGTTGCCCCCCCGCCCCTCTCAGCACGAGCTTGATCGAGTCCGTCGAGCTCTGGCAGTCGACGATGTAAATCCCAACTGTCAGTCTCCCCTGCTCCCAGCTAAATGTGGTCCGCAACGGCATGGTCTGTTCTCCTTTCCCCCCTCAGCAGCCGCACGGCTCCACTTGCAAGCTCTCTACTCTCGGTTCTTTGCTCTCGGTTCTCGGTTCCCTGTTCCCCCCTCGGTGTTTCTCTCTTTCTCCTCCGCGCTCTATGACGGTCTGGCTCCGAGGCCCACACCCAGGGAGGGACTCCAAAACCGATGGACGTCATATTGCCCGGCCATCCCTCTTCTTGCCATGTGTGGGAGATTAGTCTAGTGGTATGATTCTCGCTTAGGGTGCGAGAGGTCCCGGGTTCGATTCCCGGATCTCCCCTTTTGCGCGCCCCGGCTTCGCGTTCTCTCCAAGCCCGCACAATAATGTGCCCCCCGTGTGTGCAGGTATGCTGTGGCGGTGCCGCCACTCCCCACGCCCGGGGGGAAAGGGCGGAGAGAAGCCCGAGAGAGGGCCGCCTGTGTTCCTGAGAAAGAACGATGACACCGTGCGGATCGTGGGTCTTCGAGGGGTGGGGTGGGGGGGGGGCGGGGGCATGCGTGTGGTTGTTGGTCATTTTTACACCGGGAGGAGGGCCAACCACTGGATGTTCGGCACTGGGTGAATCGCCGGTCCCCTGCGTGATGGGACAGTCCGCCCAAAATGGACGGCCCGAAGGGGGAGGATCATCTAAGCCGCTCTGCAGAGGGGAGAAGGGCCCGGCGTCTCTGCCGCTCGTCCATCAGGGGAGATGACAAATAGGCGGCTCACCATCCCCCACCCACTCTCTCTGGTTGGATGGCCGAGTGGTTAAGGCGCCAGTTTAAGGCACTGGTGGGAAACCGCGTGGGTTCGAGTCCCACTCCAATCACACTTTTTGATTCTGCCCCATGCGCAAGCCCGGTGTTCCGCGCTCGGGCAAAGGACGGTGGCGAAGACGGAATGTGGCACGTGCTCCCTGCTGCAATGGCGGACGTGGGCCTGGCTGTCTGTGTGCGGACGTCCGAGGGCCTTGCGAAGGCTGCCCGCGCAGATGTGTGCACTCTTCGACAGGGGGGGAGGGCCTCCGCACAGGCGGGAGAGAGACAGCGATAGCTCCCTCAACGCGGATGGCGCGTACGGGGAGATGCTCCTTTTGACGCTCTGCGGCACGCGCCCGCATGCCCACCAGAAGGCATGCCCCACTTCCCTCGGAGACGTGGCACCGTCATCCGGCATGGCCTTGCTGTGCCCGAGGAAGAGATACAGCCATACATGGGGGTTGCCCGGAACATCAGCCTGCTCCACCGTGCCCAGGCAGCACGCGCGATCTTGGATGCACCTCTCGGGCTGGCTGCACCTTCCCCCGATCGCAGCGTGGCTCGGGGCATTGCTTTTTTTGTATCTCCGTTGCCCTCTCTCGCTCTCTCTTTCTCTCCGGCTCTGGCTCTGATTCTGGCCATGACTTCTGGTTTTTTTGGACGCCACTCTGGCCCTTCAAGAGTCGACACTTGCCCGACACGTCCACCTGATGATGGAGACCGGGCGGAGCGGGAAAGGGCCTCCTTCTCCACTGGCGATGAAAGACCCGAGGGAAGCCGGGGTCTATTGGCCGGACCGAATGGCAGAAGAGCCCACAACCTAGTCATTGAAAGGACAAATGCCCGCCCCATCCTCCATCTTCTGGTTGGATGGCCGAGTGGTTAAGGCGCTAGTTTCAGGTACTAGTGGGAAACCTCGTGGGTTCGAGTCCCACTCCAATCACACTTTTTGCTCCTGGACAGGCCGAATTCCTGGTACGTGCCTTGTGCTTTTCCACCGGCGGGGCTCGCGCGGCAGAGGGAGAGAGAGAGGGGGGGGGGGGGACCTCACAACCATGCGCCTTGCACAGGGGAAGGTGCTGCCAGGGATTCACAACAGGAAATGGAACACTTTGGCTCGGGAGTGTGATGATAGGTGACCCCACCGTGTGCCAGGGTTCATACGGACGCGCGGCTTCGCGCCAAAGGGCGAAGCCGTAAGACGGAAGCCGTGAGACGGAAGCCGTGCCGGAAAGAGGCCACCAACCGGGGACCAGAGGCCAGGCATCCAGGGGAGGGGGCATACCGAACCGCAGAATGTACTGTGTCTCGCCCGGGAGGGGAGCAAGCAGACGAGCGAAAGGCATGAAAGTAGGTCACAGAAAAGGGTTCGAGAGGGGGGCCTTAAAAGGCATGCTCTCAAGTCTAGCTGGTGTTTCAGCAGTGCCCTCCCATGATCTTTGCACCACGCAGCCGCCTGGGCGCCCCCGCCGCTCTCGGGAGACTCCCAGGAGGGCATGTCCCCCTTTCGACCTGCAGGCCATCATCGGTCAAGCGGCAGAGCAGATCCGAGAAGCCCACGCCCCAGCGAATCTCTCTCCCGGGCCCTTCCTGCAAAGGCCCAGGGCGGGGGCCCCGGCAACCTACCAGCCCTGCACAACCCTATATTGGAATGCTATTCATCACTTCTACAAAGGCACGGGATACGAGTCCCGCGTGGCTCCATGCCTGGCGGGTGATTTCCCTGTCTCGGGCCCAGCGGGATTCGCCACACACGCACACAGAGGCCGTCACGAAGGCACTCCCGCTACCGCGTTGGTAGCCGGGCATGGAACCCCGCGCATGCCCCACCGTCTTGGCGACTCTTGGCAATGAAAAGAAAGCCCGGAAGCCGGGGTGTGGCAGCCGGCCTCCCGCACGCCGGAGCACCTTCCGGGTCTCCTCCCCCCATAGTCACGGTGATTGAGGGCTGGGCGCCCGGGCCCGTTTGCCTCGCACCAAAGAGCGGAATGCCCCCCAAACAAAGTCTCCCAAGCACAGAGGTTGCGACGCCGCATCAGCCACCACGCCGGACGACTATCTCCACTCGGCTCGCCCCCCGTGCAAATATGGACCCAGCGCCGTAATATCCCCAAATATCTTTGTTTGGAGGCCGTCGCGCGCTCCAGATACCCACTTAACCTTGGAGCTGCGGAGGCTCCCCCCCCCCCCCATGCCTCCTGCCTCCAGCACAGCCCCCCATCTTGATCGCCATGAAATGTCCTCGGAATTGGAGGAGGTCTGAAGTGGAGGCTTAAAAGGGGGGCGACGAGGCGGGGCCCGACCACATTCCAACAGCCACCCGGGTACAGGGCACAACCAGGCACAACGGCCATCCCCATCGGCCGGCGGGACGCTGACCCCCACCCTTGGCGCCCGCCAAGGCTGAACGAAGGGCTGGGCAGGCGCTCGCTGTCGGGCCGCCGTCAACAGAGGTTCGCCTCATGGCATCGCGTCCGCCAAGGCCTTTCGCGTGCGATCCCCCGCGCCGCGCGGTGCACATTCACCGCCTCGGCCCGGCGGGATGCCATCACCAGGGGTGCTATAAGTGCGGCTCCCGGACGACACAAAGGGGAAAGCCCCACGATACATGAACATTGTCTCCCCCCAAGCCCCTCCCTGCTACTCCGCCAATCTTTCCCCTCCTCGCCGATCGACCCGGCTCCGCACTGGGACTCCAAGCGCCGCCCGCCCCATCCGCCAGCCGCCTCGCGCACCTGCCCCCTTCATCCGAGCACGACCCCCATCATGTTCTCCTCGAAATCCACCCGCGGTACGGGGGCATCTTTCTGGGGGGGGGGGGGGCGAGCACCGGCACCAACGCGCTCCGGGGGGGGGGGGGCCTTTCGCTAACTCCCCTGCCTGCCCCCGTCCAGTTGCGATGATCTTGGTGGCCAGCTATGTTCTCATGGCCGGCGCCGCCTCGGCCGCGGCCGCCGGGCGCTGTGAAGGCCGCGACCTGCTGTACCCCACGACAACCGACGAGCTGAATGAATTCTGCTCCGAGGCCAGCGACTGCTCCGAGAAGTGCATCCTGGCTCGCAACGCCTTCCACTACTGCTCGGAAGAGTCGGAGACCGACTGCCTCTCGCAGATGACCCGACTTGTGGTCGACTGTCGCCGGGTCGCCCCGGCTTCCTTTGGGGCGTCTCTGCAGCGCGTCTGCTTTGATCCGCAATCCGGGCCCGATGGCGATGGCGACGGCCCAGACGCACCGTCGTCCGGCCCCGACAGCAGCCTGGACCTCGAGCATCCGGGAAATGGCGACTTCTGCCCCGTCTCCGGCGTGGAGAAGCACTGCCACGAATCGGATCTGGACTGCTCGCGCGCATGCGCCCAAGCCATCGAGCCATACTACTTCTGCTACCTGGGGCAGGACAAGTGCCATCTGGCGATGGAGATTTACATCGCCCAGTGCCAGGACGCCCAGCCGTCATCCTTTGCCGCCGGGCTAGAGCGCTATTGCAACGAGGCCCCCGGAGGGCTGGCGACCTGGCGTGCTGGTGCCATGGCTGTGGCCGCGGTGCTCAGCATCCTCCTGGCCCTCCTGTGAGAGTGCGCTGCCGATCATCCCCGGGAGGATCCACCCCTCGCAAAGAGAGCATGGAGCTCAGCTCGGCACCGGGAATATGCCCCGCCCTCGCATGGGCAACGGAAAACAAAGAACACAAAAGCCAGAACCTGCGCGGACCGTTGTGGGCTAAAAGATGATCGAGGGGGCGCGGCGCGAAACTGCACATTCTGTAACAGCATTACCTTTGGGGGGTTAATGTCGATCGCCTCCGCCCGCACATTGTTTTCTTGGAGCGCAAACCCTCTTGGAGCTCCCTGGGAGGGTCGTCTTCTGGAACTTGAAACCGGCCACATGGGGAGATTTTGCTGCGGCTTCTGGTGTGGACGCGCGAGTGTGAGCCGGTGGGTGGCGTGCGCGTGTGTGTGTGTGTATATCCCGAGACGAGCAGGCGGGACAGCGAGAGGGCAGGAAAACTCGCCGGACTCGCCCCTCTCGTCCATGCTCCGATTCGTTGGCCATGTGCGCATGCCTCGGAGAAAAGGTGTATCCATGCCGAAGTACACGGAGTTGTCCATCTCCAGTAATATGTATCTGGCGCCAAGTGTTTACACCTGCTTTTTGTCTCAAAAGAGGAGGCCGGAGCGGGGCGAGAGGGGTCCATATTTTGGAGAATATAAAGTTTGTATTAATCAGTTCAATTCTGGAGAGCCGGGGCACAGGACGGGGGGGGGGGGGTACAACGGAGGGCCGAGGGGCGCTTTGGTCGTGTGGCCTTTTTCCATCTTCGGAGGGGGGGCTCCTGTCCCCCTCCTTCATTTCTTCTACAGCCGCAATACCTCTGTCCCGCGTTTTCGGCTGTAACCGGGTTCTGGATTTTCGTCGAGCTGACACTCTCAACGCCACCCCCCTTCCCCCGGTGGGAAACACGGGGACACTCGGAGGCGAGACGCAACACAGAGAGAGGGGGGGGGGGGGCGGCACTGCAGCATGGGAATTGCGCGGGCGCCGGCGCGCGTGCACACAGGGGCACGCGTGTGTGTGTGTGTGTGCACCAGGTCCGTAGCCATAGTTCCGCGGAGGTGCGGGGACCGCTGGCTCGGGGGTGGCTCCTTCTCAGCGTCTCCCCTTCTCGCGTGGAATGGGGGAGGTCTTTTAGCCCCGGCCGTGGCCCGCCTTGCCCCGGCGTGGGACCGCCAGGCCTACACATACCAGTGGACGAGTGCCAACCGCAGGGCGAAGAGCAGGGGGGAGAGCAGGAAGAGCGGAGAAAGTCCGGCCTCACGCAGGGCCATGGGGCTGGCCTCACGAGAGTCAGCCCAAGACCGGGTCCCTGCGAGGTCCTCATTCCCGCCGCTCCGTGCCCTCCGGGCCGGCGCCCTTTGCTCTGTGCCTGCCACGGTCGTTAGAGCATTCTTCGGAACGCCGGCCAGTTGTCCAGGCCCTGGGGGCTGGCCTCCCACCCCCGACTTCTGTCCTCCCCCCTTCTCTGTTTGGTATCCCCCCTTCCCTCTTGCCTCCCCCTCCCCACGCACGCACGCACGCACGCACACATCCGACTTCTCTCCTTCCCTCCCCTGGTCTTTTTCTCCCTCCCCACGCACGCGCGCATTTGGCCCCTTCCCTTCGCCTCGCCGGTCCTTTTCCCCCCTCCCCCCCCGTCTTCCTTCCTCTCCCTCCCTGTCCTCCCCTGTCTCTCCTCTCCTCGCCGAACTCACCCCCCCCCCCCTCTCACTCTGCCACAGTTGCCCCGCCCCAAGCGAGAGAGACTTTGAACAGAATGTCCTCCCTCACCCGTATTGCCATTGTCTCTGAAGACCGGTGCAAGCCCAAGAAGTGTCGCCAGGAGTGCAAGCGCACCTGCCCGGTCGTCCGCATGGGTACGTACGCGTCTTTATCCCTCGCCAGCCCCCAATGCCCTTCCTCCCGTGTCTCCTCCTCGCTCATGCTCTTTCTTCCATTTCCCTCCCCCCTGCAGGCAAGCTTTGCATTGATGTCGAGCCCACCTCCAAGATCGCCCTCATCTCTGAGGACCTTTGCATCGGCTGCAACATTTGCACCAAGGTGCGTGCCCCCCCCCCCCCCTCCCCTCCCCCCCGTGTCTCCAGTTGTGGTCCTATCCCCTCCTGTCCTTGCATTGCCGTTTTGAGGTTCCTTGGCTGACTCCGGGCATCTGCCTCCCCCCTTCCCTCCTCCCTCTCTCTTCTTCCCGCTCTCAGAAATGCCCGTTCGAGGCCATCTCCATTATCAACCTGCCGACCAATCTCGAGAAGCAGACCACCCACCGCTACCATGCCAACAGTTTCAAGCTCCATCGGTCCGTCTCCTCTCTCTCTCTCTCTCTCTCTCTCCCTCCGTCTTCTTCGCCGCGCTTCATTCGGCCTTTCCTTCCATGTCACTCACCCAGCCGGCCGTGTATGCCCTCTCTCCCTTCCTCCCGGCCTTCGCACTCCGCACCACAGTCTCCCCGTTCCTCGCCCTGGTCAGGTCCTCGGTCTCGTTGGTACCAACGGTATCGGCAAGTCCACTGCCCTGCAGATTCTGGCCGGCAAGCTGAAGCCCAACCTCGGCAACTTCTCCAACCCCCCCGACTGGGCCATGATCCTGAAGTATTTCCGCGGCTCCGAGCTGCAGTCTTACTTCACGCGCATCCTCGAGGAGGATATCCGTGCCCTGATCAAGCCCCAGTATGTGGATATGCTGCCGCGCTCGGTCAAGGGTCGCGTTGGCGATCTGCTCAAGGGTCGCTGCACTCTGGACAACTTCGATTCGATTGTCAAGAGCCTCCGTGCGTGTGCCCCCCTTTCCGATTCGCCCCTTGGCCAACCTGCTGTCTCCCCTGCGCTTGTCCTGCCGTTCGACATGCCCGTGCCCACACCGGTCACTACGCGGGCTTCATCATCCTCCTCCTTCTTTCCTGACATCTCTCTCTCTCTCTCTCGCTCGCCCTCCTGTCTCTGCCTTCTGCTTCCGCGATCGCTTTTCAGAGCTTGAGAACGTTCTTGATCGTGGTATCCAGCTTCTGTCTGGTGGTGAGCTCCAGCGCTTCGCCATTGGTATGGTCGTCGTGCAGAAGGCCAACATCTACATGTTCGATGAGCCGACCTCCTTCCTGGATGTCAAGCAGCGTCTCGAGGCTGCTCGTGTCATTCGTGGTGTCGTTGCTTCTGACCGGTGCGTTCCTCGAGCGCGGGTGCCCGTTTCTCCTCCTTTCTCCGTCTCTCTCTCCCTCTCTCTCCCCTCACCCTCACGCACGCTCTTCTCTGCTCCACTCCCTCTTGTGTCCTATGCGCGTCATTCTCCTCGCACTCACGCACGTCCATACGTACGCACACACACACACACACAGCTACGTCATCGTTGTCGAGCACGATCTTTCCGTCCTTGACTACCTGTCGGACTACGTCTGCGTCCTCTACGGTTCGCCCGGTGCTTACGGTGTTGTCACCATGCCGTACTCCGTGCGCGAGGGTATCAACATCTTCCTTGATGGTATGATTCCTACGGAGAACCTGCGCTTCCGCGAGGACTCCCTGTCCTTCCGCATGCTTGAGTCTGCCGATGAGGAGTTCGTCGTCAAGCGCCACAGCCAGTTCAAGTACCCGGCCATGACCAAGACCCAGGGTACGTCTGCCCCCTCTCCCTTTACTTCCCAGCCCTTTTGTCACCTGCCCGTCACTTGTGTATGCATGTATGTGCATGTGTGCGCGTTACGCAAGGCTCCAGCCAGCTAGCTGGCATCTAACTATGCACCACCCACTCCCCCCCGCCCCCCCGGCTTTCAATGTGTAGGTGCTTTCCACCTGACCGTCGAGGCGGGCGACTTCTCCGACTCGGAGATCATCGTCATGCTCGGTGAGAACGGTACCGGTAAGACCACCTTCATCCGCATGCTTGCCGGTCAGATCAAGCCCGACCTGGAGGATGTCGACATCCCCTCCCTCAATGTGTCCTACAAGCCGCAGAAGATTTCCCCCAAGTTCACGGATTCCGTGCGCTCGCTCTTCCTCAGCAAGATCCCCACTTCCTTCAACCACCCGCAGTTCCAGGCGGATGTCCTGCGCCCGATGCAGATCGAGCGCCTCCTGGACCTCAAGGTTCCCGAGCTGTCTGGTGGTGAGCTCCAGCGTGTGGCCCTTGTCCTGTGTCTCGGTAAGCCCGCCGACATTTACCTCATTGATGAGCCTTCTGCCTATCTGGATTCCGAGCAGCGTATTATCGCCTCCAAGGTCATCAAGCGGTACGCATGCGCGCGCGCACACACACACACACACACACACATACACATTTGGGCTTCATCCCCTGAGTGGTGTCCTCTTCTCCCACTCGCGTGGCTATCGCGCGCATGTCCTGACACCTGCTTCGTTTTCTCCCCCCTCCCCCCTCCCCCCCTCTCCTGCTGCATCGTCAAATCCACCCACGCCCGCACGCAGCTTCATCCTCCACTCGAAGAAGACCGCCTTCATCGTCGAGCACGACTTCATCATGGGTACCTACCTGGCCGACCGCGTCATTGTCTACGAGGGTACCCCCTCGCTCAAGGCCACCGCCCTGGCCCCGGTTAGCCTTGCGTCCGGCATGAACACCTTCCTCCGGTCCCTGGATATCACTTTCCGTCGCGACCCCACCAACTTCCGTCCGCGCATCAACAAGCAGAACTCCATCAAGGACCGTGAGCAGAAGCAGGCTGGTAACTTCTTCTTCCTGGAGACCCTCGCCGAGTAAGGAAATCCACTTCCATTTGTGCCTTATCGTCCCCCTGCGGGAAGAAGAGAGGAGGAACAGAGGAGAGGGGCGAGCAGCATGTGTTTTTTTACACTCCCCCCCCCTTGGTCTGTGCCCTCTCTCCCTTTCTCTCTTGTGCTCCTTTGATCTCTCCCCCTCCCATCTCCCGGTGCCCTTGTGGCATGGCGGTGTGGGCGAGAGAAAAAGAAAGAGGCTGAGGCCGATCGTGCGCCCCGTTTTTCACCGTCGGGTCCTCCCATCTTGCACGGGGACTTTCACCCTTGCACTATCCATTTCTCCCTCCTCCCCCTCGCCCTTTTCCCTTTCGCCTCTCCTCCCTGTCTCTTCGTGAGTTGCTTGGGAGATCCGGCGAGGGGGCGGGCGGGGAGGGGGGGGGAGGTGGGGGAGAAGGGAAAGGGGGCGGCGCCCGCGTTCTTCTCTCTCTCTCTCTCTCTCTCTCCCCCTTTCCCGCTAAATAGAATCAACAACCACACGCGTGCCGTGTGTCCTCGGGGCATCGGGTTTGGTCGGCTCTCGTGCCCCATTCATTGGCACTCGGCGGTGCTCCACCCGACCGTTGGCTTGCGGGGGGCGGAGAACGCGCGCACCATTAGGACATTGTCTGTGTCCCTCTCTCTCATTCTCGTGAGAGCGGGAGAGAGAGCGGGAGAGAGAGCGGGAGAGAGAGCGGGAGAGAGAGCGGGAGAGAGAGCGAGAGAGAGCGGGAGAGAGAGGGCGATAGCGACGGCGACTGGGGCCCAGGAGGCAGAGCCAGCGATTCTAGTGGTGGCGATCAGCCCCATAGCTGCCACCTGCCCAGAACTAGCCGCAGGGTGTGTGTGTGGGCTGGGCGCATGCGCCCTTGGGCGGTCCAGCCCGGGTCGAAACCCTAGCTTACTGGTCTGACACTTTTGGGGGGCGGGGAGGGGGGGCCGCATGAGCGCAGGTCCGGTGCCCTGGTGTCAACCCTCGAGGCGTAGCTGCACTCACCCAGTGCGGGGCCGGGCAGCCGAGGGGGGACGCAAGCACACGTGCGTGGCCTGTTTTTCTTGCGGCCCGTCGCTACTCCCGGGGGGGGGGGAAGGTGGGGCCGAGGGCCGGGCAACTGCCCTTTGCGTGCGGGTTTCGCCACTGGCGCGCAGCTGCCCACAAATGGCGCTTGACTTGACCCGCTCGACTTGGTCGCGACGGCGGTGTGCTTGGGAATGGAAGATGTCGGGGACATGTGAATCTAGTGTGCGTGTGTGTCTGTGGGTCTGTGTGTCAGCCCCTCTTCTGTGGCGTGCTGGTGTCCCCTACCCGTTGCACGTCCTGGTTGTTTCGAGCCGAGTCATCAGGCGCCGTGCCAGACGCGGCCGGTCCTGGCTCCTAGCTAGCACCCCCTCCCGGTTTGCAGTTCCTCCTCCCCCCCCCCCCTCGCCCCCTTCCCACAAAATGATGCTCTCTTCCCTCCCCGCTCGCTTCTTCTCCACCAGCGCCGTCAAGGAGGTACGCGTCTCGTTCATCATGCCTTTGCCTTTCCCATCTGCCGGCCTCCTTCTTGCCCCCCTCCCCCCCCCCCTCTTCTAACGTCATCCCGTCTCCGGGCCTTCGCCTCAGTCGACCAAGGTCGCCGTCCTCGGTGCCGCCGGTGGCATCGGCCAGCCCCTCTCTCTCCTGCTGAAGTCCTCCCCCCTGGTTGACCACCTTTCCCTGTACGATGTCGTCAACACCCCTGGTGTTGCCGCTGACCTGAGCCACATCCCCTCCAAGGCCAAGGTCACCGGCCACGTCGGCGCGGAGAACCTCGGCGAGGCCCTCAAGGGTGCTAAGGTCGTTGTCATCCCCGCCGGTGTTCCCCGCAAGCCTGGTGCGCGCCTCCCTCCTTTCCCTGGCCAGGCGCTCGAGCATGCACGCCCATGCGCGCGGCTGTCCGTCTCTAACCCCTCCCCCCGCTCCCCGCCATGCGTCTGCCCTCAGGCATGACTCGTGACGATCTGTTCCGTGTCAACGCCGGCATTGTCAAGGGTCTGGCCGAGGCCGCTGCCGAGCACTGCCCGGATGCCCACCTGCTGGTCATCTCCAACCCGGTGAACTCCACCGTGCCCATCGTCGCCGAGGTCCTCAAGAAGGCTGGCGTCTACTCCCCCAAGCGGTACGCACATGCATGGCTCCCATTTGCGGCTACCCGGGCAATTCGCTGTGTCCCTTCCGGCGAGCTTGTGTCACTGACAATGGTCCTTCCTGTCCCACCGTCGCGCACAGCCTCTTCGGTGTCACCACTCTCGATGTTCTCCGTGCGCGCACCTTCGTCGCCGGCAAGAAGGACGTCGACCCCACCACCCTGAAGGTTCCCGTCATCGGTGGTCATGCTGGTACCACCATTCTGCCCCTGCTGTCTCAGGTTCGTCGATCATGGGTCTCCCCTTCCCCGCCTCGCGCCTCCTCCCGACACAAGCCCCTCCTGCTCACCTCTTCCCTTCCCCACTCTGGTCCTCTCCCCTCCCCTTCCCCCGCCCCCCCCCCTTGCCCCGCCTTTCGTGTGCCCTCCTGTCATGGGGTAGAACTCCGCTGGTGTCACCTTCTCCGATGAGGAGCGCGACCAGCTCACCCATCGCATCCAGTTCGGTGGTGACGAGGTTGTGCAGGCCAAGGCCGGCACTGGCTCCGCCACCCTCTCCATGGCTCAGGCTGGTGCCGAGTTCACCGAGGCCCTGCTGGCTGCCCTCAACGGCTCTGATGGCATCGTCGAGTGTGCCTTTGTCGAGAGCCCCCTGACCGATGCCCCCTTCTTCGCCTCGCCGATCAAGCTCGGCCGCGAGGGTGTCGAGGAGATCCTCGAGCTTGGCCAGATCACCCCCTTCGAGCAGAAGCTCCTCGACGAGCTGGTCCCCGTCCTGGTTAAGTCCGCCCAGGCTGGTGTCGACTTCGTCAACTCCTCCGAGTAAGCGCCTGCTGGCTGTGTCCCTCTCATTCCCTCCCATTCCCTCTCCTCCCTCCCGCCTGGGTCTACCTTCCTCCTCCTCCCGGTGGTGGCGCGCGCGCATTCACGGCCGCGCTTGAGTGATGCACTTTTTCCTGGCATCCCTTTCTACGCCCAGGGGACCGACCTCCTGTAAATACAGTGCACATGCCGCATTCTTCCTTGTCAACTGGACGTGGGATATGCATGTCTATTCACATGCCACAGGGGGTAAAGCGGCGTACGGGCGAAGGGGACAGGCTGAGGAGGCTGTCCTTTCAGTACCAGTTACTGCTGCTGCTGCTGCTGCTGCTGCTGTTGATGGCCGAGCAAGCTCAAAGTCAAAATGCGAGCGCTCTGCTCGGCATTCGGATTCTTGATCAGGAGCAGGGGCATGAGGGTATTGTGTTCGACATAGTAGATTCCACACTCTGCACCGGGGCAAGGCGAGGCGTGTGCGTGCGTATATATATATATATATATATATGTGTGTGTGTGTGTGTGTGTGTTTGGGAGAGGGGAGGTCAGAGGCGTGGCGGTGCAGAGGAGGGACAGGGCTCAGCTGCCGGGGCTTTGCCGTACCATTGCAGAAGCGCGTGTCACGCTTTGGCCCATACCGCCAGGTGTCTGAGTGCGTTGTGTGGCAGTTGAAACAGTGGGGCACGGACGGGGCATGACCAAGCAGCGAGGCTTGCACGGACGCCGGGCTGGGCACGGGCGCGATCGCGGGCGCGGCCGCGGCCGCGGCTGCAGGTGTCTGTGTCGCGGTAGCCACCACCGGCGGGGCCACCGGCATTGGCAGGGGATTCTTCCGCGGCCGCCCGCGCCGGCGCTTGACGACCACCGGCTCGGTACCGGGGGTCTGTGTGGCGGGAGCGGTGACGGCCGCTGCCGGCGGGGCCGGGACAGCAGCCGGAGCCGGGGCGACCACTGGAGCAGCAGCCGGACTCGGGGCCGGCGCTCGCACAGGCGCTGGCGATGCCTGTGGCACGGTGCGCGGCGCGGCCACCAGGCCACCGGCAACGCTGGCCGCCGGACGCTGGCCATTGATATCCACAAGTGCCTGGATGTGATTCGGGTAGCGGCGTCCAATGTTGGCAAGGGTCTCACAGCGCGACCGTGCCGGCATATAGCTCTCAGCCAGGTATCCCACCGCCGCAGGAACCGTGGAGCCAGGCAGCTGGGTGGCCAGGCGGCGCCCGGCCGCGGCCAAACCCTGTAGCAAGGACGCTGCACTGGCCAGCTCGTCCGGTGAGGCAGCCGCCCGATGGGGACGTGCCTTGCCCTGCTCGGCGATGGTATTATCCGCCCCAACCTGCCATGCGGATCGGAGAAGATGGCGATGGGCCTGGCGCCGGAGAAGGGTTTGCAGGACACTGGCATTGCGCTGGAGCTGTGCCCGGACCGGGAGATCGGCCTCGGGACTGATGGCGGGCATGAGCTCGGATGCGGCTGACGTGGCAGCCAACGGGACGGTCGAGGCCGCAGGCGTCGAGTGGCTGGCCAGCTTGCACACCACCGCGTCGAGCTCTCGCGTGCAGGCGTCCAGCTCGGTGACCACTGCCTCCGAGGCGGAGGTCCCATACTCCGGGCCCGAGAGGATGGCATTATCTCCCAGGGCCAGCGATGCACGAGTCGAATCGAAGGAGGGGAGCCCCGGCGCGAAGAGGCCGAAATCAAAGAAAACCGGCTGCGACTCGAGGGTCACCACCAAGTCCGTCTTGCGGGGGGCACCGGTGGTCTGGTCAAAGGCCCCACACTCATCGGCCCAGGTGGGTGCAGTCCCGGCATCTGAGGCTGGTGGCAGCCCGGCCCCACCATAATGCACGGTCGCCAGCTTTTCCCAAAAGTGAGCGTCCGGTTCGGCATCGGTCGGCTGGAGAGTGAAGGGGCCGAGGGGGCGCCGAATCCGAGAGCCAACGGTGCGACCGTGGAATCGAGCCAACGAGGCGCCAGCCTGGCGGGCGGCCGTAATGGCGGCACGCTGCGCAGCGGCCAGCTGTGCGCGTGACCGGTCTAGCATGTGAATGGAAGATGCGCCGAGCGTTGACAAAGCATGATCGCTCGTGCTGGCCGTGTTTAGAGGGTTGATGACCTCCAGCCGAATGACGGAGGACTCTATCATGGCGAGCAAGGCATCAGGGTGTGTGAGATGCGGCAAGGGAGGAGACCCGGGGAAGCGGGACCCCGGGAGCAATGGCAAGAAAGTACTCGGGGGGAAGGTCATCGACGACGGCCGTGCGGGACGTACTCCGGGAAAACTGAAACGCCTCGTCCACATTGAAGGCTCGGGAGAAAAGAAAGTGCGAGGTCAGCCCGGCAAGTGGAGATTCGAATTGCTGGGCCGCCTCGGCCGAAAGGTTGTCCTGATGTGAGTCCGGACGAAAGCCGAAAGCCAGTGGCCCGGCGCGGCGCACACGCGACAGAGCCTTCGGCCGGGGGGCCACACGTAGGGTGGCCTTTGCGCTTTGGGAGTGGATCGGCGTGTTAGATGGGACCGCCCCCTGCGAGGGTGGGGAGTCCATCGAGGACGGGGCGGGTGGCTGAGAGAGGGGAGTCCAAATGTGCGAGTCGCCCAAACGCACGCCTTGTGTGAGGGCGGGGCGCCCCGAGAGGGGGTGGCGGAGGGGGGAGCGGAGGCGACGGGGGAGGTGTCGGACATGGGCTCTGCCTCCGAGGCGGCCAGCGACTGCGGCATGGCGAGGCAAAAGGGGGGGGGAGAGAGAGAGCCGTGCAAGAAAAAGGGAGAGAGAGGAAAAGGGGAGAGAGAGGAAGAGAGACAGAGGGACGAATGGGCGATGGAAAGAAGAGAGGTGGAGGGATCTGCAATCGGCCGCCGCAACATGGTTGGGGAAAAATGACCGCAGAGGCCCTCGCAGGCGGAAGAATGAGGCCCTGGGAAGATGCGGAAGGGCGGAGAGAGAGAGAGAGAGAGAGAGAGACACACATAACAGGGGGGGCATGGGAATAGACAGAAGGGCAAGGCGAGCGCGGCCGTTTATTGTCTACATACGTCGCGTCCGTTGGCACTACATCACCGTCCCAGGGCCGCACGCGCCCGGCGCGCTCGAAGGACGAGCTGGTACACGGCGCGATCTTCCTGCTGGGTTGGCTCGGCTGCCCAGGCCCCCGCGATGTGGCCATACACCGGGTGGTGTGCATGGTGCACATCAGCGAGGGGGCCCAGGTCGGCGGCGGACTCCCTGGACGTTCGGCCAGCCAAGATGCAAGCCGGCAACAGGCCAGCCACCGGGTCCGGCACCAGGTCCACAGGGCTGATGACAAAGGGGGGAGTCGTGTTGGAGGCGATGGCCGCGACGCCGGGATGCGCGCGCAGGGGCTCAGCTCCGGGAATGGAGTCGCGGCCGAAATTCCGCGCCCAAAAGCGCAGCGACGGCCCGGCATCACTGGTGTCCATGTGGAAGGCGGTCAGTCGGCTGGAGGCCTGCTGCTGGGGGGCCGGCGTCGGGGCCAAGGCAAGGTTGCTTGCCGAGAGTGATGGATCGTGGAGAGGAGGGTGTGCCCTTGCCGGAGGCAGGTACGTCTCCTCGGTGATGGGTTCGAACTCATCTTCCGAAAATAGACTCGGCGCCGGGGTGATGGTGGAGGAACTGGAGAGCTGGCGCGAGTGTGTCGGCGAGGGTGGCGGGGAAAGTTCGCGAAGTGACCCGGGGGGTGTTGACGCGGCGGAATCCACGCTCAAGGTCGAGGGCGAGCGCGTGAAGGCGAAGGACCCAAGCGGTGTCGTGCCCTCGGTCTGCGGGCGAAGTTGATACTCATCCGACGTGGCCTCCGGCATGAGTGGCGGCTGCGGGGTGGTTGCAAGGAGACTGCTAGACCGGGGCACCGAGTGGGTGTAGCTTTGTGAAATGGGTACCAGCTGGCCGTTGCAGAAGTACGGTGGCATCACCACCTCGGCCACCTCTGGCCGCGGAAGTCCGGCGAAGTCCGCCAATTCTGCCTGAAGCAAGAATGCCGGATCGAGGAGGGCTGAGCGGGGCAGGGACAAAAGTGAGCAGGAGACAGGGAGCAATGATGAGAAGTGAAAGGAGCCGCTGGGAAGGAGGAAGGAAGCCAGGGGAGAGGGGGGGGGGAGGGGAACGCACACTCATCCAAACTCATGACCCAGGCCACGTAGGCGCCCAGGCTGACGTGGAACAAGTCGCCTGACTGCTCAAGCTCCTGTGGCGAGTCGACCGCAAACTCCCGGACCATCCCGCAAATTGCCGCATCGTGGATCAACAGGAGCAAGTTTGTGCTGAAGGCAAAGGCGCCTGGGGAGTGAACCATCAACTGGTAGACCTATTTTCCGGTAAACCACGCCCAGGAGCGAAGGAGGAGCAGGGGGCAGGGGGTGGGGTGTCAAAAGCATGTACAGAGGCCGGGGCAAAGGGGGGGCAGCATCAGCAGCCAGGTGCGCACCGCATCCAAAAACAGCACGAAGGCCGGACTCTCGTTCTCACCATCGAAGGCTGGGTAGGAGGCAGATGTGTCGGAGATGGCCGAGGCCGCAGCTGCTAGCGAGGGCGGCAACGTGCCGGACACACTAAGCCGTGTCCGGGAATTGGCCGGACTGGCACCGTCAGCTGCCACGCCGGAGCCCGCGGCCGGGGAACCCTGAGCGCCGGCTGTTCCCGCGGGAGAGCGCCCACCCGAGCGGCGGCGCCAGCCAAGGAGCCCGCTCACCAGATTAGCAGACATGGCTGCCGCACCGACACGTGCGACGCGGTTGGGCTGAAGCAGCGCATGTCGCGTGCGGAAGGGGAAGCCCATGCTGTAGGCCGGGCGTCAGTATGAGAGGCTGACAGGGAGGACACTCGGAAAAGAGAAGAGATGGGCGAAGAGAGAGAGAGATAAGGGAGGGGAGGGAGGGATCAACAACAAAAAGGGCAAGGCAACATACTGAGACCACTCGGAAACAATCAAGTCGATGAATCCCTGCGGGCTGGCTCGATAAAAGGGGTCGGCGATGAGCAGCGCCAGGGCACCAACGATGGACGACCGGTCGCCTGCCTGGCTGCCAACAATGGACGGATCGTCCACCAGCCAGACGGAGTCCACAGGACGCAAGGTCCCTGGGGCGGTGGCCCGCGCCGTCGCAGATGGCGATGTGGGCGACTCAGGGGGCCGTGAAAGGAATGGCATAGCCGCGCTTGGGAGAGCCGGGTCCGACCTGCTCAGGCCGGCCGTCATGAGCGGCGGCGGCGGGGGCAGTGGCCGGCGGATGGACTTCGCTGGCGGCTCATTTGGGGCTGCGGAGGCTTCGATTGCTGCCATTGCAGCGGCGGAGCGCGCATCCTCAAGATGCTGGGCCAGGGTCATCGCCGAGTTGACCACATTCTGAAGTCCCTCAAAACCGGAGGACAAAGTGCGGCCAGTAGCCGGGGACCCCGGGGCGCTGGTCTGTCGAGTGCGTGTTTGCATCAGCAAGCTGGCGACAATGTGGCTATACCGAATGAATGTATGGACATGGTTTAGCCACTCGGTCTGGGCAGCAATTGGACCGCTGTCGGATTGGGCCGAGTCGCCTGAAGAAGATCGCCAAGGGCAAGGGACATGGCCAAAGTCAGTCATGTAGCAGAGGTCCGGTGATCGTCATATGCTGTCTGATGTGTCGTCCGATGAATGACCGGGAAGCTGGCCGGCTGGCTGGCAAGCTAGCAAGCCAGCCAGCCAGCCAGCCAGCCAGCCAGCCTGATGGACGGATGACGGGGTCCAACCCCGGAGCGAGGCGACACGGGGGAGTGGATGAGAGACGTACTCAAAACCGAGGCACGAACCAAAGCGCGATGGGCGGCACGCAGGCGGCGTGTTGATGGGGCCTTCAAACGAAGCCGGCGGCGCTTTACAGCCGCCAACGTGGCGGAGCTCGACCATGCGGCCGTGCCAGCAAGGATCTCCTCCTCCTGCAGCGTGTCCGGATTTGGATTATCAGGCACCGGGGCCCGGTCGTTGGAGTCCGCATCAGCTGTCTGGTTGCTTAAGTGGACAACCCACAGGCAGGCCGGCCGAGAGATACGAGGAGCCTGGTCGGTGCCGGCCTGGGGATCCGAGGCTCCGAGCGCCCCGGCCGACATGGCCAGTGCCTGGTCCAGGCCAGGGAAGAAGGACCGCGCGGGGGTATTCCGCCGGCGCAGAAGCCGTGCCGCCTGGGCTGAAGGTGTCCCACCCCGGAGAAAGCACGCTCCGGAGTCGGAGGACTGCCAGCGAAGAACCGGGAACTGCATGACACATGGGCAGTCAGTTGGGCAGGATCACACTCAACAGGACAAAGAGCCTGGACCAAGGAGCCAAGGGCAAGGGCAGGGGAGGATGGGACGCACCCGGCTGCAGGGCCGGCTGTTGATGAGAGCCATGAGTTCCGAATCCCCCAGTTGGGCTGGCACAACCACATGAGAGGGCAGGCTGGAGTCGAGGGAGGAGGGGAGACCGGTCAGACGGGCAGCCCCTTGGGAGGGATGGCTGGGGGCGGAGGCGGAGGCGGAGGCGGAGGCGGAGGAGCAGGGGACAAAGGCAAGGACACACCTTGAAGACACGCCGAAAGACACATTGACCAGGGAGATGCGCCAGTGACGAGACCGAAGTGCCGCCTCGACTGGCCGGAAGTGATGCGGCAGTATGATGTCCCGCCTGTCGGAATGTTGTGCGGGGCCCCCGGCAATGGCTGGAAAGGGGCTCTGAGGGGTGATCGGCGGGGCATCGGTCTCGGGCCGGTGGCGGTCCGGCGAGGAGGGAGGCTCGGGTCCATGGAGATGCGAATCGTCCCGGCCGCCAAGCTCCAGGAGCCCGCCCGGGGCCGCCGCTACAGCCAGGTTGGGCATCGACAAGGACATGCGAATGGGGCCCCCGCCTGGAGGGGGGACCTGGCCCGAGACGCTTGATACAGGCAGCCGGAAGGACGCAGCGAAGAGGTCCTCCCGGTCCGAGGCAAATGCATGATGGCGCAAGGCCACGGCCAGGCCGGACACGGTGGCCGACGTGCGCATCATCCCCGGAGTCAGGGAGGCCGCAGGCAGGAGGATATCAAAGCGGACGTGCCGCAGGGTGCGGGTGTACACCCGAACAGTGAGAACCTTCCACATGGACAAGACCGAGCGCTTGCCACCAAGGGCATCGGTCATGGAGGGGTCCTCCGTGATGCCAGCCAGTCCGGCCAGGTGCGCCGTCAACTTGGCCGGACTGGAGGGGATCTGACAGGAAGAGATCGATGACAAGGGGATGTGGTCCAAGTCTGCAACCGAGGGCACCAGTCCCAGAGGCTGTGGGCAGTGGGGCGCAAGCGTGCATTAGAGCAAGGTGCATGAGATCCGGGCCGCATGTAGAGTGGCACACTTGCTTGAGCGCGCCTTGGGAGGGATGTAGATCGGGGG